AATATTGCCAACTTAAGATCAACACATTATTAACTTTAGTCCAAATTCAATGTAAGACCTAAAGGTGATATGGACAGCAACTGTGCAGACAGGCATTTCTGATGAGGTATTAGAGGGAGAGGTTTATGAATACTTAAGACTATGCCATAGCAAAGAAAGGATCCAATCCACATGAGAGGCTCAGCAAACATGAGGGATCTGAGGCTAATGCAAATATTCCTATAATTAATTATATATCTATATCTATACCTATATCTATATCTATTCTCTTTTTGTTGAGCAGAGGCATAAGTTTTACAGTCAGAAGTATTATTTATGTCTTTAATGAGGTCTGGTTATATACTGTGATATAAGTTTTAATTACTGCTACAAAAAAGTCTTTAGAACCATTCCAATGGAAAAAAGACTTTACAGACACCCTGTTCCCTCACCAATAAAAGACAAGACACTGAATTCCTAAAGGCAGTACCTTGAACACAATAGAACCTCATTTTTCTCCATTTAACTAAAAAGAAAACAGCTAAAAAATAGGTGACTTTCAAACCAAATCTTGTTGTCTGATATATATATATATAAGTTACTATTTAAACTAGACGAAAGCGTAGTTTGTGAAAGCCAAACGAAGACTTTGCGCAATAGACAGAAGATGGGAAATTCACGTTCCAGTAAGGAAGACCTGATTGTCAGAAGATTTTTAAAAAGTTTAAGAACATAAGACATGAGTAGAAGCCTTTACATGCTTATTGTCTGGTGTAAATAGCTTCATGTTGTTCTAGTTTATTTTTAAAAAGCAGCTATTACTATAACCATCTTACATAAAAACATTAAGAATTCTCAACCAACATTCAAAAAAGTGTTTTATGACATCACTTTCATGAAGCCAGTGAATGAAAGGCATATCCCTTCCACCAAAGTTCACTCCTCTGACCTATACACATTTAAAAAAAAAAAAGGTTACTGGCATCCCCAAACCAACTACCAAGGAGGATGATTTTTGAAAAGGTTTATGAAAGCTTCAAACTTTTTGAAATATTTATATTCCATCATGTGCAAAAAGCTTCTATTTCTTCATTTACTTGCAGCATACCTAGTATGTTTTCAATTTACATAAAGATGATGAAACTTAAGTCTATACATAGACAAACAAAATACAATGAACTAAAAGCCACAGTTTGTAAAATGCTCATTTGTGTTGCACATGGTTTTTTGAGAGTGTTAAAATATTCACTATATGGTTTCCAGAGCTCCAAACAAATTCTCTTCTATCCCTCCCTCCAACATATTGTAAGTTATAATTTTTAAATTTCAACACCCCTCCAATATTGTTTGGTGTCTATGCCTTGATGGTTTATTGTGGTTCTAACTCACACTTAACGAAGCAGCTACTAGTATGAAAATCAAACTTGTTGACTGTAAAGGTCAAAAATTGCATATTACAAACCTACAATTTAAAATGGAAAGATATAGTAAGCAGAGACATATAAACACGGTAGTCTTGATTTTGCAAGAGAAAGACTGGGATGAATCAGCTGTAGGTCCCATAATATCAGAATTCCCACAGTTTGGGGTTGGAGGCTGGGATAAAAGTGGTAGACTGGATAAATTGTTCTAGTGTGGACTTAGTTATACTGTATGATGAATGTGTAATTTCTTCTTCCTAAACTTTTTCAGGTAAAACTGGCATAAGTGTGCCTGTTATCCTCCATTTCTTCATTAACTATCAATACTAACTATATTTTGCTACCTTTTTTCCTACCACAGCATTTGCATCTATGGCAACAGAGTCTCTAATACCCTTTTTTCCCATTTGAGCCAACAGACCATTGCAAATGAAAAGCAATTAAAGGGTTGGGCAGTCTACAGCTATACTCTGTTTTCCGATAGATCAGTGTCACAGTAGCTGTCTAACCAGTTTCAGGCCCACATATTTCAATTTTCACATTAACTAACATGTCTATGAATAGTCAGGGTAATATATATATATATTATTTAGAAGAAGATACATATAACAATATGTTGATAATCTGTAAGTACAATGCATTTTGTTGATCTAAGTTAAGATTGTTATGTTAACACATAGGAATAAAAACCTTAATAATGTTTGTAAGTTAATGTATGGACTGTAAGAGTAAATCAATTTACCTCAACTAGTTATTTTTTTAATTTGTAATCCTTAGTTTTTTCCTTAATTTTTTTAAAGGGTTTGCTTAATGTAGTTTTCGGAAGACGCAAACTTTTTTGGGGTGGGGGGGGGGGGCAAATTGAAATTAAAAATTGTTTCAGGTCAAAGTGTTTCATTTGAGGAGTTTTATTTAATCTTTATCAATTTTTTAAATAAAAAATTAAATTAAATTCAAATTGAAAATCAAAACATTTAATTTAGAAAATGTTGAAACAAAATATTAGAATTTCAAATTTTTCTTTTTTTTTTTGGACAAACACCACAGCAAATTTGCCACAAATCACAAAATGTTTCTATCAACCTGAATCTGCATATTTTCTGCAAAAAAAATTTCATTTGAAATATTTTGCCCAGATCTAGTTGTCAGCTGATCTTTATGGGGGAAAATCTTACTGACAAATTATTTGAGTGATCAACCATTTTTGTCTAATATCTAGTCTAAAATACTATTTGAAAATAGAGAAAGATCAAATTTTCTTAATTTTCAAGAGAAGGTTTTCCTAACTAACCTCCAACCTTTAGAACTCAACCAGGAATCTAAAAATCAAGCTAGATTCTTTTCTTCAAACACACCCCATCACCAGTAATAAAGGTCTTTTGGCCAAATTCTGTCCTTAGCTATATCTCTGAGACCACACAGTACTCAAATTATGCTACACCTGGACAGCTGCACAGGTAACGGTCTTCTGTGGAGTTAGGCAGTCACATAATTGGTCCCATAATTTCTCTATTTAGCTGAACAACCACGGTCCAGAATCTAAACCTTTAATTTATTAAGGTAAGGTTGTTTGAAAAATACATAATCTACCTAGAGAGGGGAGATTTAGTCTGTAAGTGGTAGTGGGAGGAAAGAGGAGTTCTAGAATGCAATCATATGGTTTATAATAGTATCATTTTAATAATAATTTAAAAGCCACAAAGCATTAAGAAGGGCCAATTCAGCAATAACTTTAAAGGATTCTTTAAGTAGGAATAGAGAGAAGACCCATTTAGAGGAGAATACAGGGGACATTTTTAGGAATTTCTTTCCCTTCCCCTTGAAAGTTGCATTCCCAGTCTCTATGCATCTGAAGAAGTGAGGTTTTTACCCACGAAAGCTTATGCCCAAATAAATCTTAGTCTTTAAGGTGCCACCAGACTCCTTGTTGTCTGTCATTTGAGTCAGCCACAGAACAAAGTGACAATAAGATATTTTCTGCTAAACAAAAACACACTTACTGGTCTTCAAAGAATCATTTGTCCCTGAGTGTAACATAACTGTTTTGCCAAGTCTAAGCCATAAATTATTAAGGGAATGTACTTGGGAGGGTAGAGTGGAGGGAGAGTCCATCTGTTTACATGGTTTTATAGTTTTTAAAAAGAAAATGGTCTAATTAACACCTTTACAGCAAGAAGAGCTTCTGAAAACCTGATTTAGATGAGGTGACTATCTACTAGGTAAATGCTCCTTAGTGCACAGCCTTAGTAACTGATTTGTTAATGACACCCATCCTGCCCAGATGAACCTTACCTTGTTGCTTACAGGCGTGAAGGATCTAGATGTTATCTATACTAATAAAACATTAAACAAGGGCCATATTTATAGTAGGCACTCTATAAATCAGGTCAAGGCAGGTCAGAGCTGCATAATAAGAAACAACTACAGGCTAGATCTTACTACTGTAACTGAACACCCTTGTTACTTTTCTTTGGCCCTTGGGATGAAGACTAGTAGTGTGTTCCTATCCACCTCAGAATGGTGTTTCTCTTGACATAAACCCAAGTAAACTCATTCATTATGACAGTCATTACTTTTGCACCTCTTGAGAATCTCTATAAATTTTAAAAGAAACATCTTAAATAGCCACTTCCCCTACTCCTAAGAAGTTGAAGGATTACTTTCTATTATATTAGGTTTGACACGTCTGATAAATTTCACATGACATACTAAAAGAAAATTTTTTCAGCTGTTTTTCATTCCGTTTGTTTCATCGCATCTCAGTATCTGCTCTGCTACTGCAAAGTTCATTTTCTACTATGACTGATTCTCATTCTCTTTAGTTACCAGGTAACAGGAATCTTTTTTATTTAAATAAAAAATTGCCTTTGTCACATTGTTCCACAGTTAACTAGCTAAAGCTTTTTAGCAAAAAGTAAATATTGCTTTTGGCCTGCTTTAACAATCAATTCCTAATGAAGGAAATATTGATAATTCTGATGAGTGCCACTGCAAGTCAAAGATCATGCCCCTGTCAACTGCTCTGTCATTTTCCATAAATCTCAGCAATATTATATAGATATTGATTGAGCATTAAACATCATCGGTAATATTAAGAGGGTTTTGTATATATATTTAAAGTAATACATTATATTATGCACTTCTGTCCTACTTGGGTTATAAAAGGAATAAGCACTAAATAAATTAAACAAAAGTTAGTGTTACAATTCTCAGTTACAACTCCCCCACCCTCCCATACACAAAAGATTAGCTAATAAAAATTATATTATCAGTGATATGAGTCCACAGAAAGAGGAAGAAAGAAAATCCATAAGACACTGATGAGATAGAATCCTTATTAAAAAAAACTATAGAAAGAAACTGTTAAGATTCTGTAAAGTGCCATATTTTAATATTACAACTATCAAGAGTATTAAGGAATGCAAAGTTATGTTTGTAAAACTCAAAATGATTATTCAAAGGAGAACTGAACTACTGATTTGCATCATAAACCAGAGAAAAATACTAGTATTTGCAGATCAAAAGTCTCAAACCTCACAATGTGCTGAAAGCTATGATCAGGGAGCCATCAAATGCTGTGACATAAAACACAGAAGTTACCTTCCTTCGTTGACAAGTTCAATAAATGCTAGGCCTGCATTCTTCTGTATTGAGTTCTGCCACTCCTGTAAAGTAAAAGAAAGAAGCGGAAGCACTTAGTTTTATAAATATAGGTGAAACAACAACTTACATATTCTAAGCAGAATTATCCGACTATAATTATTTGAGGAGAAAGCCATGTCATCAAGTCAAAGTAAGCTAAGAGATCCCTGAAAAAAACAGATTACATATTTCTTTTCACTCCAGTTTATCTTCCTATTTAACATCATGTGATGTCACACTCTAATTTCAAACAGGTCTCCTAATTCCTCTAGTTCACTGATGTACTAGTCTCTGCTTCAATGAATCTCGGCAATGTAGTCCATGTGTTGGTTACATTTCTTTCAGTTTCATTTTTAAGCCATATTATTTCAAATATAGCATGATTTTCCTTATTGTCCAAAGGATTACTTTACATACATATTGGTTATATACTGGCAACACTGATGCCATCTTCTCACAAAGGTATAACACCACTCCCTCTCTTCCAAAATCAGTCCTATATTTTCATGTTATCAAATATTAGATCATGGAGACCTGCTATCTTTCCAGATTTTTGTACATATTAACATTTTTCTAAGGCATGGCTACACTAGAGAATTTACTGCGGCGCTGTAAGCTCTCTAATGTAGCCACTTTAAGCCACCAACATAGCGCTGTGCATACCAGTGCTTATGTCAGCATAACTTATGTCGCTCAGGGGGGTGATTTATTCACCCCCCCCCCCAAGTGACATAAATTATGCCAACGTAAACTGTAGTGTAGACATAGCCTAAATAGCAGCAGTGGCAGGAATGTTACATATACTATATATTCACATTACGTTTAATGGGGCCCTATCGTGTAATAGCACACCTCCCAATGCATTGTTTTCCTATGAAAGTCCCACAGCCCAGTAACTCATTTGCTAATTCATGCTCCTATTCATGGAGCTCAAAAGAGTTCATCTCCCCTGCAATAACTTAAGCCCCTTTCTTGACAATGCCCTATAAAGGAACAATTCTTCAATGGCAGTGGGATGGCCTGACCTCATGTGTTTTTTTCCATATCTAACTTCCATGATTTTTTGCAGTTTGGTCTGGTTAGATTTTTTATGTCCACAATGTTCTTAAAAAAAAAAAATCACACATCACTCACTTCAGCACTGTCATCATTGTCCTTTTAATCTCATCAGCACTCCCATGATAGACAGAAAATATGAAAATACAAAAGTTTCTTGAAAGCAATGGAATATTTCAAAGCATAGGACTTTTTTTTCCTGATTTTGAGTCAGGTGAAAAAGTCACATTCCTTCTCCGTTTCATTTATTAAAATGGCACGTATAATTTTAAATTCTTTCTCACAATCATTAGCACAAAGATTAGATCACACAACAAAGTAAATAGCAATCCCAAGCAAGACAAAATTCAAGATTTTTTAAAATTCAAGCTATCAAAGAAAGGGAAAACCTGGGAAATCTGAACTCTCATAGTTCTGATTCCTCGAGATCTTAGGTGCTCTTACATACTTTTGTAAATTGTATTAACATACTACAGTTTTGAAGAGCTCAAGGATAAAGCTATCTTCAGTGAAATGAGTGGGATTAGCATATATTATTTCTCATAAAGTGCAATGAATTTTTACTATCATACCAATTAAATCCTCTAATTACTCACTGTATTAGAATTTTTTTTTTTGCTCCACTTTGCTATCATTGTTTGCACTAGCTTTCATTGTTATCATGTAAATCCTGCTGATGTTGCTCCTGTCCTAATTCCCCTAGGCCTCCCTAGTATCTTATTACCCTCACTGCATTGTTTTAAAATAGTTTGTAAGCATCTTGAGCTAAGTATTACTCCTCTTTATTAGGAAACACCTAGCACACTTTTGGGTGCTGTTAATATTATCAACAAACCCCCCACCATAATGAATTAATACACAAAAGCTTTTTTCATCTTAAATCAAGCTGTAAATATTTAACATTGTCTAACAAAGATAATGTAGTATATAGGGTTCTCCACAAACTTTACAGAAGGAAAAGCAAATTAAAGAATTATTTTTCTGTTTATGACATTGTCCATCTGTTTCTTCATGCTAATAATGGCTTTCTTCTTGACTAGCACTGCAATGCTTTAAAACTTAATTGGTGAAGATGGAAGTTGCCAAAAGTGAAGAGAAAGTGCATTTATCATTGTATCTTTCAGCATTTTTCTCCACATCAGAAACAATTATCAAAGGAGGCGTTAGTCTAAACAATTTCATAAACCACAGCTGAACACGCCCTAAAGCAAGCTTTAATAGTTGAAAGAGAAGCTTAATGGTCATCGTCTTTCATGATCAATTCAATATTTCACCACAGCATATACACCCTCTACAACAATTATATTCACTATGCATCCTGCATTGTTATACCAAGATCTTAGTTATTCATCTCCCAAAGGTACTGATGAAAAACATGTTAAAAGGCTCAAACCCAACCGCTAATGCAACTAAATAACTACACAACACATTTAAGCACTTTGAAAAGGAAGGACTACAAGAAGAGATCAACAAAGTCAATAATTTCATACTTGTTCTAAGCTGTACTTAATTGACTATCATTTCCTATGGCTATAAATGTTTACTCTCTAGCAGACATAAGCTACTTCTAATGCTCTTGGTCAGTGTACAATGAAGCAGAAAAGAAGAGAAGCATTGAACACCATCATAAGCATTGGCTCCAATGAAAATATTAATAAGCATTGGCAAGAGCCCATGGGTCTGAAATTACATTTTATTCAAATGCTCTGACTAATGAGGGAATTTCTTACTTTATAATTAATATTTCACCAGCCTTTTAATGGGATATTTAAGCACTTTGATAAGTATACTGAAAGTGATCCAAATGCACTGTAGTTTTTTAAATACTATCGCTTTTCTTGAAATGCTGTTTTATGACTTCTCCAAACAATGTCAATTTCATTAAGGATATTGGTACACCTCCAGCAGCAACATTACAGTAGGGGAACTATTTCTCTCACAAAGTGAACAACATCATCAGTTGTTAGATAAGCAGCAAGTTGTATTTACACTAATAATCTTTTAAAACGTATACCTAAAATTAATTCAAAACTAGCAGTGCAGAGACAAGTAATCTTGACAGCACAGCAGAAGTACATAAAGGTGTACTGCTCTTTGAATTATTTTGTTCTCACTAAAATACTGTTTAAGGGTCAAGACTGAGTTTATTCACAGCACATTCTTCTTAGTACTATTCTTCAAAACAAAGAACAAAAGTATAGGGTGAAATCCTGGCCCTGTTTCATCCATAGTGTTTGTGAGCAAACAATGCACAAATTGATTTAAAAGTTCTTGTAATAACTTGGTTAAAATAACCCTGGAAAGTATCAGGGGGGAGGGAGGGAATCTTAGAAGCAGAAACAAAGAAAAAAAAAGAGGAAGACAAGGGAAAACAGAACATTTCAGTAACTTTAAAAATAACATTACTACAATACACTTACACAATTGGAATTTAATTTTAATGTCTATGACATTATGAAACTTTCCATTTTAATAAAAAAAGGGCAAATTCATAAATCAAAATTCAGAGTATTTACTAGCAAGACAGATAAATGAGTAACTCATGCAATATAGACAGAAGGGCTTGCAAATTTAAGAGTACCACTCTGTACCTCTCAGTTGATGTAAATAAACTTGCAAAGTAAGTTCTCATATAGAATTAAATGGAGTAATGAATTTATGATTTCTTCGCCAATTTATTATTTGGCTCAAATTAAATGTGTCACTAACTAAAAGGTGGCTAACTTCATATTTTCATCTCATGATTTAATCAGGTACTTAGAATATAACCAATCTAATAATAAACACATATTGATAGTATCATATACTACATGAAAAAGCAGATTTATTGAAGCCACAAACATGTAACTAAGAATAAGTGACCCAATGGCAATCAAAAAATTATATATATATAAAAAATCACTGCAATTTTTGGTACAGCTAATGGGAAGGGCACCAAAACACTTTCTTTCACACCCTCTTTTCTGAATCCAATTCTAGCTGTCATATCATGCTCATGAATCCTATCCAGAGAAGAGCGTAAGAAAGAACACGTTTTGGTGCCCTTCCCACTAGTTATACCAAAAATTGCAGAGATGTTTACGTCAGAAAGCGTGCTTGTCCTGAACGCTATCATATAATACAAGAAGCACATATGGGTGGAGCCTAGTGTTAGCCTTGACCAACTAACTTGTTAAAATACAAGTTGTCCTGCCAACACAAAGGTTTTTAAATGTGTTTGCTCATGCTTACAAAAATTATCCTATTTAGACAAGGCCTAAAAGTAGGCTATCCTAGCTTCTCTTCCAACCTCACCAATTCAAGTTACTGGTGGAAGTAATTGTCAGAATCCCCCTGTGCCACCATTTCTTTGCTGAAGAGTTCAGTGCTTCAAATAAAAGGCCGCAATTTGTACAAGACATAGAAATTAACAACTCCACCCTGCATAGCACATCAAGTCCCGGCCAAAAACTTCTTGGCTCTGTGGGTACCATATACTGGCCTCTAGTCTACATGTGTACACTGCAATTAGCCACAGCAGGCCTGTGCCAGCTGACTCAGGCTTGGGCTACAGGGCTGCCTAATTGAGATGTAAACATTCAGCCTCAGGAGCCTGAGCTCTGGGACCTTCCCCCATCATGGGGTCCATTCCTTTTGCCAATCCCACCAAAGCTCCCACTTGGTGAACAGGAGACGCCTTTAAACATCTGTACAAACCTTTTATTTCAAAGGTACACCAGTAGCCATTTGATAGCATCAATACCATTGTAAAGGAGATGAATACTCTTTAACACTTATATTTCCGTACTTTCAGTAAGCACAATAAAAGGATGTCTATCTAAGAAAAAGGAGAATTCAGAAAAATGCCTCAGACTAGTGGTATCCAACGTTTTTGGCCTGATGGCTGAAATATTTTTTAAATGGTCAATACTCAAAAGCAGATTCTGTGCTCCCTTTTGCTACTCAGGCAGTAAAAGAACCCATAAGC